TCCCGGACGCCTCGTACTCCCTCTGGCCCCATGTACCCCGCTCCTCCCCGTTCCGGGCCCGCCCCTCCTCCCGCGCACCCCACTCCTCCTAGTGGAGAGGGGCCCCGCCCTCGCCCGGGCAGTTCCCTTGTCAGCCCCGCTCCGGTGTGCCCCGCCCTGCCCCACTCCCCTGAGCCAACCGGGCTGCCCTCGTCTCCTTCCTCTTGGACCCTCGTACTCCCTCTGGCCCCATGTACCCCGCTCCTCCCCGTTCCGGGCCCGCCCCTCCTCCCGCGCACCCCACTCCTCCTAGTGGAGAGGGGCCCCGCCCTCGCCCGGGCAGTTCCCTTGTCAGCCCCGCTCCGGTGTGCCCCGCCCTGCCCCACTCCCCTGAGCCAACCGGGCTGCCCTCGTCTCCTTCCTCTTGGACCCCACTGCAGGCATCCTTCCTCCTGGCAGCTCTGCACGCGCCTTTGGGAAGGCTGGAGACTTAGGTGAGGGAATGCTCACTGGGTGAAGGATGCCACCCAACCCCAGGTAAGGGAACTGGACGCTGACAGGGCACCAGGCAAACTTATGCGGAAAACGCGAAGGCTGCAGTCCCCCTCACCAATACGCCAGAAGGCGGTGGACACCCACAACCGTGGGCTGCCACAGGAGCCCCTGGAGGTGTGCTGGAGTGAGCGAAGAGTAAAAATACAGCTCTGGTGAAGTTTCCCCGGGAGACCTGAAGGCTAGGTTGAACAGAAAGCCGACCAGGCAAAAGTGGGTCCTCCCATTGGCACCTGAAGCCTGCTGGGCATGAGGCCTAAAGGGATGCTGCCTGTGCACTCAGTTGTGTACAGGCCAGACTAGGGAAGAGTTGATTGTTACCAGTAGACAACAGCACGAGGGGAAGTAAAGCAACCCAGTTTAAAACTTTTTATTCAAATGTAATTTCAAACCCAAAGTCAGAAGAGCAAGACTTCTTAGAAAACACACCCTTTCCCCTTTGTATTCGATCTGACCATTAACTTTTTTTTTCTCACTGAGTTTAATCTCTGATACCCCAACTTCCTGAATCTGGGGATCTCTGCCTCAATCTGAAGTTTGTCATCTGTCAGTGTCTGCCTATTGGGGAACCCTAATGAGGAACAAGGTCTGAACATTAGGTTTTCAGCTTGGGGCCTGGAAGTTTTGACTCTGCCACAGTTCACAAACACTCCTGCTCAAGTGGGACAGCCAAGTGGAGGCACATTTCTAAGTCACAGCAATAACCCCCACCGTTCTGCCCCAGTGGGTCACAATGAGAATTAGTATAGCTGACATACATGAATAGCTGTGGGACTCTATATTCTAAAATCACTGCTCAGTGTTCTGGGTCAAAGGTGGGGGGATGCCAGGGCTCTTCACAGTGCTTCATCCATGGCAATGGAGCATGTGATGATGTGGTAATTCTGATAATAGTGAGATACAGGCAGAGGGTGACAAGAGGGTCTCCTCTTTCCTGGGGGAATCCTGGAGGAGTGAAGGTCCAAAAGACACTAGTCACCAGTGGAGGTCAAGGTACATCAGACAGAACCTTAGGCAGAGGTATACCAAGGAACATGGCACCCACAGTCAGCATCAGAGGCCTTGACTCACAGGGAGTGGGGTCATTGCCGTCTTGAGTGTAGTTGGCTTACTTCAGAAAGGATATCCACAGAAGCAGCTTGGCTTGCTGTTTTGACTTTGGAAGTCGCATGGCAGATTGGGATGGTACTGGATTTTGGCAGTGAGAGGTTACTCTATTTTCCAGGCCCTCTCCAATCTTCCTTCCAAGCTTTTCTTATTAAGGTGATCATAAGAGAGGGCCCCCTGTGCCTCTGGGTAGGTCTCAGGGCCTATTTCTGATGGGGACCTCATACATCAGCCACAGCCTTGGCCCCTTAGTCTCAGCCTTTAGCTCCTGCCCTCCCTCTCTGGCCACACCCCCACAGCACCTCTCCCTGCTGATCCTCTTGGACTTCAGGCAGTTTTCTGGCACCTCCCACCTCTGTGACTACTCTGGCTTCCAGACTAAGCAATGGACTTTCAGTCCTTATTAGCCACAGAGGCATCTTAGACACCAAAGCTGCATTTTTGGTAGCATTTTTTCATCTCACTTAATCTTACTCCCACCCTTAGGGTGTTGTCATAGATTTCCTTTCCTTTTTTTTTTTTGCAGTGAAGGTCACTCTCAGCCATGGCTGCAGAATCTGAGAGCTCAGATCCTTCCTGCTCAGCCACCACTCTCTCTGTGTAGTGTTTATTCAGTGAAACTCTCAGGAATGTTGGAAATTTATGTGAACACATGGAAAGAGGGCAGGACTCTCCGGAAATGACAGATGATACCCACTGACGCCCACTGACTCTTGATCAGAAGGTATTGCTGCTTTCTTATCTACAGGTGGTTTGTGTTCATCATAAAATTCTCAGCAGAAAGAAAAGAACAAAAGTGATTGTTCCAGCTCTATTTGTCTTACTTTTTACAAATAAGATCGTTTCTCAGTGCTTCTTTCTGATACTACCCTGCAATGAATGGAGCAATTTTAGGGGAGTACATAAACTGAAGCTGTTTGCTCTGCCAGGAGGTGATGCTTATGAAAGAGGCATACCCTGTTAAGAGGCACCATCACAGCCACCTCTGAGGCTCTGCACCTCTCATCTATAGAAGGAAAACAACACACTACTGATTTGCAAAGCACCCAAACCACCCAGCAGGGACTAAATACCTTCTGCATTGTGAGGAGAGGCCTGGGGCTATGCAGCTGGGTGCAAAGTTGCAAGCGTGACTGATCCACAGGCTCACTGCCTTCAGTATGGCTCCTATCTTGGGGAGAAGGGCAGAGTGTGACTAGCTTTAAAGGCACACTATAGAGAAGGATGTCTGCCTGTGTACCAAGTAGAAGAGAGACCGTGATCGAGGAGTAGCTCCACAATGAAAAGAAAGGATACCTATTAATAAGTAGTCTTTATATGATTGGTATTTTCTCCTGGGTCTAATTAATGTGAGAATTTCTTAAGCCAAATTGTTCTCAAGTATGAACTCACGTAAAACCAGAGCTTCTGAAACACCAAGAAGTTTTGTCCTGGTTTTATCATTGAAACAGTGTTTTCTGTGTCCTTCGATCTTTTTCCTACCCTCTCACCTCTTCCATTAGGTCCTATTCCCAATTCTAAACGCATTTTCAAGGTGGAAGAAGATAACCAGATGAAGAGACAAGCCAGTACCGTGAGTGAGAGTTTGGACACTGGAGTCCTCCAAAGTGTCACTACCGTCCCTAAATCATACTCTTTAAAGACAGAGTTGACAAATGAAGTTCCTTTCTCTGAGCACCCCATCTTCTGAGGTGCCTGTAATGAGTAAATCTTCCATGATTTTAACTCTGTAGTAACTGAGTGAAAGTGACCATAAAAATCTGGGAATCTATGCTTTATCAGCTTATGTCAAGTGGCCTGGCCTTGTCTTCTATTAGGACGCAATCCTGCTTCTTTCTGAAACGTATTTGGTGAAGGGGCTGGTAGCTCATTCTGATATTCTTTAATATCCTGCAAAGCAAACTAAATTCCTACTTAAAAATTAGATTTACATGCATTTTCGTATTGGTTAGGAGTCCTTAAAAAAGCAAAATGAAAACGTAAGTGATTTTTTACCTAATATAATGTCAAAACTGGGTGGGGAGACTTTTACGATTTATTTTATTGTGTAAATTAGAAAGGCAATCCTCAGACCTGTTTTTACAGTGAGAATCAGTGAATGTAGCCGTTTCTGTGGCTGTTTCACTTCACTATGAAGTCTGACCTACCCATACCTCAGTGTCAGTTCTCCCAAGAGGCGGATCTCTCACAATGATACTCTTTTGCTCTGAGATAAGTGTCCCAGGAGAGCTGCTGCCTGGAAGATCCAGAATGGGGCAAGCATTTGAACATCAGGATCCGTGCCTTCCACAGTCCCCTGTTCTTCACATGGGTGTTAGTGTGGCTGCTTGTCACAGGCAGCCCATATCAAAGCAGAAAGAAGCTGTGGGTCAGGACGTATAATACCCACAGTATTGTTTTAAAAATCAAATAAGAACTCTAGAATAGTGTGCTTGGATATCAGTGACCTAAATGGGCCACCCAATATCACTGAAGGAAAAATAACGAGTACCTGTTATCCAAAGAAAGCTGAAATGTGAAAACGTTATGTGAAATATGAGGAAAGTAGCCTCTGGGCATTCGTTTTCATAACTCAGTAGACATCACCTTGTCTCAGGGAAGGCAGGAAGAAAGCTTGTCTTTGGAACATCTGAGATAGGCCAGAGAGTTTGGAGCTAAGGTCATGGGGTCACCAGGAAGAGCATACCTTGAGTCTGCCTCTCACAGTGAATGATCATGTCTCCACATAAAACTGGGTTTGGGGCTGGAGAGATGGCTCAGCAGTTAAGAG